CTTTCCCTCCTTACAACATGTCCAAAGTATGTCAGACAAAGCCCCAGAATCCTTGCCTCCAAGGAGCATCCCGGTTTAACCCTCTCTAGGATGAATTTGTTTGTTTTCAGGGTAGTCCAGGGTACATTCAGCACTCTTCTCCAGCACCACAGCTCAAAGACATCATTTCTCCTTCTATCCTCCTAGTCATTGTCCAACTCTCTGATGCATAACAAGTGATTGCAAAGACCATAGCCGGTATCAAACGCACCTTAGTTTCCAGAGTGACAATATTGCTCTTCAGTACCCTGGAGAGGTCCCTAACAGCAGACTTTCCCATCAAAATACATTTTTTTATTTCCTGGCTACGGTGCCAAGCAGACTAAAGTTGTTAACAATCTGATATCCTGCCACTTTACTAAATTGGTCTATTAACTCTAATGGGTTTTTTGTTGTTTTTATTTGTTTGTTTGTTTTGTTATTATTGCATCCTTGGAGTTTTCTGTGTACAGTATCATATTGTCTGCTTACAGTGACTGTTTAACCATCTCTTTGCTGATCTAGATTCCTTTTATTTCCTTCTCTTGTATTGCCCTCGCAAGTACTTTCAATGCAATACTGAATAGAAGTGGACACAGTAGGCATCCTTGCCTGGTCCCTGTTTACAAGGAAAATGATTTTAGTATTTTTCCATTGAGAATAATATCAGTTCTTGGTTTTATATATACTGTTCACTATGTTGAGGAAATTCCCTTCTATTCCAGCTTTGCTGAGTGTCTTTATGAGGAAGGGGTGTTGGATTTTATTAAATGCCTTTTCTGCATCAATTGCTAAGATCATATGATTCTTGTAATTTGCTTTGTAAATTTTTCCTATTCATGGATAGGAAGACTTAATATTGTTAAAATGACAATCCTTCCAAAAGCAACCTACATGTTCAACACGATCCTTAATTCATTTGATATCTTTGAAATTCCATATGACCCAGCTATTCCACTGCTTGGAATATACCCAGAGAAAATTAGAACTGAGATACAAATGGGCATTTGTACACCAGTGTTCATAGTAGCATTATTCACCATCGCAAGAACAGGGAAACAGTCCAAATATCCAACCACCATCGAATGGATTGAGAAATTCTTGTATATTCACACAATGGAATACTACAGCAGCATGTAGGAGAAATGATTTTGAAAATTATTACTTAACTTGGGGGGGGGGACTAGAGAGCATTCTGATAAATAAATTAACTCAATCCCATAAGGATAAATACTACATAATACTGTTATTGTAATAATAGATAACTAGTAAAACATGTATGAGAATCTAAGGGGTGCAGGAAGCAGAGGAGTAAGGATATGTGGGAGAAGAGTAATCATGGGGTCCCACAATTTGATGGGTAGAGAGAAGAGTGGGTAAAGGAAATGAGAAAGATCCAGTGTGAAAAATGTCTATGAACTTTGTAAGTAAACCCATATAAAATAAAAAAATATTTAAAAAAATTGATGTGTTGCTATGATGATTTTTTTTAATTAGGAAATTTTTTAAAACTATTTAAAATTCTACTCTTGTTTGGTGCCATGGAGTCATCTATGACTTGGCAACCCTGTGAACAATGGATCTGAACCTTTCTCCTGTACCATTCTCATCATCTCTTATTTTTATGAATCCACTGTAACAGTCACTGTGTCAGTCTGTCTCACTGAGAGTCTTCCTCTGAGCTCATCAGCAGAGAACTGCCACGTGTGCAGGCTGGGTTTAGAAGAGGCTGTGGTATTAGGAATATTATAGCTAATTTCAGATAGATCTTGGCTGAAAGCAGAGAGTACCAGAGGAATGTCTTATCAGTATTTTATTGACTATGCCTTTAGCTGTGTGGATCACAACAAAATGAAGCTGACTCTGAGAAGAATGGGAATCCCAGAACACTTGATTGTGCTTATGCGAAACCTATACTTGGACCAGGAGGCAGTCATCTGAACAGAGCAAGGAAACATTCCATGGTTCAAAATCAAGAAAGGAGTATGCCAGGGATGTATCCTATCTCCATACCTTTTCAATCTATAGATGGAACAGATCATCCTGGAGGCGGGGCTCTATGAGGAAGAATGTGGCATCAGGATTGGAAGAAGACTCATTAACAACTATGCATGTGACACAACCTTGTTTGCTGAAACAGAAGAGGACCTGAGGTATTTGCTGCAGAAGGTCAAGGGCTGTAGTAGTCAATGTAGATTGAAGCTCAACATAAAGATAGCAACATTTCTCACCACTGGGCCGATTGACAGCATCATGATAGACGATGAAGAGATTGAGATTGTTAACAGCTGCAGCTTGCATGGCTCCACAATCAACACTCTTGGTACCAGCGGCCGGGAAATCAAAAGATAAATTGCACTGGGGAAAATCTGTTGCCAGGGACCTTTCCACAGTACTGTGGAACAACGACATCAGTCTGGAGACTAAGGTGCAGTTGATCCAGTCCATGGTCTTTGCAATTACTTGCTGTGCATCAGAAAGCAGGACAATGACTAGGGATGATAGAAGGGGAATTGATGTCTTGGAGCTGTGGTGCTGGAGAAGAATATTGAATTATCCACGGAGAATAAATAGGTTGAAAGGGTGAAGCCAGATTGGCACAGGATAAAGCAGGACTCAGAGCTGTTGTCCACAGGGTTGCTATGTCCTGTTCTAGTCATTTTTGAATGATCTTCAGCAGGTCTTTGCTTGCATGTGATAGTAATGATATTGTTTGATAATGTCCCCATTCTGTTGACTCACCTTTCTTCAGATTGAGAACAAAAGGGATCTCTTCCAGTTATTTAGCTAGACAAGTGTCCTCCAAATTTCCTGGTATAGCCTGATGAGCATGTCCAGGGCTGCTGCAGTCATTTGAAATATATTAATTGGTATCCCATCTATTCGTGGAGCCTTAATTTTTTGCCAGTGCCTTCAATGCAGCATGAACTTCTTCCTTCGTTACCATTGGCTTTTAATCATACGGTACTCCCTGAAATATTTCAATCTCGGCCAATCTTTTTGACACAGTGATTCTGTGTATTCCTGTAATCTTATGATGATTCCCGGATCCTTCAAGATTTTATCCATAGCATCTCAAGTATTGCACTACAAGGCTTGAATTTGCTTTTCAGTTCTTTTATCTTGAGAAAAGCCAAATGAATACTTCTCCTTTTTATGCTCTAGTAATAGGTCTCTGCACATTCTTTCATTTTATGAAAAGAAAAATTAAAATTATGAATTTATTATTTTTAAGGAAAAATAAATATTACAAAATAATGAGAAAATATGTCTACATTTATCCTGAGCTTCCATGTTTTTACGTTTTGGTATTTTAGCTGTCATTTTTTAGTTTGGGTGGATATTTTTAGAACGTTCTGATTTTATGCAAAAAGAATTTTAAGTAAGAAACTATTTCCTGCTGGATTGTTAAAAATTAGCCTTTAATCTAATAGTCTGACCTCTCTTTGTGATATTCTCCACTTACATTGTCTCCTGTGGTTCAATGTTAAGTGCCCAGATGTTAACCTTAAAGGTTGTGACTCTACAAGAAAGAAAACTGGGAAATCTGCTCCAGTAAGAATACAGCCTAAAAATGATATGGATGAATTCTACTCTGTCACATGGGTCATCATGAGTTGAAAGCAACTCGATGGCACTCAATAACAGTAATACCTGACATGCCTACAATTTAATAACAGAAACATGTTAGTTCTTTTTTTTTAACAGTATATTCTTCCCATTTAATTTTCCCCCATTCATTCATTGTCACACATTTTCCTCCCTGCCTACACCTCCCCCCAAGTTCGCTTTTCTCTTTGAAAAGAAAAAAAAAATTCATTCATTGTTAAACACCAAGTCCACAGTCCACTTTACTATGCATTTCTTTTTCTGGAATCTTGTCTTGAAAATAATACCTAATCATATATTCCTTTTAAACAGTTCTCTCAAGCATCTGTTTCAGTGCAGTACACTATTTATCCCCTCTTTTCCTAGGTTCCCCCCAACCCCGTTGTCTGTCCCTGTTTATAACAGTGGCACTATGCAGTATTTGTCCTTTTGTGACTGAGATATTTCCCTCAGCCTAATGTCCTCAAGGATCACCCAGTTTGTATAATAGTTCATGAGTTCCTTGTTTTTCAATGCAGCATAGTATTCCTTTTTTTTTTAAAAAAAGGACATTGTCTTTGTACATAGCTTAGAATGTCAAAATCTTCTTTCAAGATTTATATTGGCTTTATGATGGCAATGCTGAGGATATAACCACATTATGAAAAGGAACTTCATAAAATATTTTGGATTTATAATCTAGAATCTCAAACAATTAAAGCTGAATTCTGAAAGCACTTAGTGCAAGTAAAGTTTAGAATATACTAAACTAACTTGTCTTTTGCTTTCCTTTACCCATCTGGACAAGTGGCAGTGCTTGCTTTGGTTTTTTTCACCAGAAGTCTAATAATAAAGGGAGAAGTATGTGATTCCAGGGCTTTTGAAGGCACTAGCAGGAGAAGAAAAGTGAAAGCAAAAGAGCCCTTTAGCAAATTCTGGTACTTCTCATCTTTAGTCCATAGTATTTAAGTACTATTTTAATTATGTTTGCTTCTTAGTGACTTTTATTTTGAACATTTGATTATATTTTTAAGCTTCCTTAAGAATTAAATGACTTGGTATACAAATGAAAAGAGAAGAAATTGTGTTTAAAATAGGAGAAGTGAAAATGATTGTCTTAATTGGTGTATTACCTGTGAGGTCTGTAACAGGTACCTTAAGCTCTGAGTATCAGTGTCTTTACATTAAAATGGAACGTGTACTCTGAATGTGACTAGCAGAGACTTTGGGTTTAGACAACTGGAGGTGCTCCACTGATATGGCAGGTGTTACTTTAATTAATCCTATCTCTTTTTACATGGTTCTGACACTCTAATTGTGAGCTTGTCAACAATGCTGCTTTTGAAATGTCAAAGCATAATTCCAAATGTAGTTTATTATTTCTTGTTATGTAGAATTTTCTTCTAAATCAGCTCAATAAGGAAATCTACAAGCCTCTCCTAATTAACTTCTCAGCACAAACTACAGCAGCTCAAACCCAGAATATTATCATGTCAAAGTTGGACAAACGAAGAAAGGGAGTTTTCGGTCCGCCTTTGGGCAAGAAAATGGTAATTTTTCTTTATTTCTGTACACTAAATAGACACTGAACCTATTTTTATATATCACTACAATCAGGACAGTGAAACCAGGATGCCAGATTATAGAGGGATTTGCAGTACTTTGTACATTTTCCTTTTTTTAACACAATTTATTATTAAAACATTTTCCTAATATTTGTGATTGTATTTCAACTTGCTGTAGACAGACATTGCAAACATTTTTCCTTAAAAATGTAAGTAGAATTTTCATCTGGAATTTATTCCTATTTTTAATTCTCTCATTCATCTCATCTCTATTTATTTTCACTTAGTGGCATCTTATGTTGCTTGTTATAAACTAAATAATATGAGAAAATTAGTTAGTTCTAAACTAAGCCTACGAAGGTTAGTGATGAGATTGTATCCCTGGCCTTAGATGACGCAAATGCCTTTGTATATGATACTAAGGGGAATTATTCCTGACAGGAAAAGAACTAGTCAGCATGATAATACTCTTCAAGATAATAATCTGTTTCTTGCCTCAATATATTTATTACACACTTAAGATAAATCACTAGCATACTTTAGTAGCATTTCTTTATATCTCCTCTTTCCATCCCAGGTTGTCTTTGTGGACGATGTCAATATGCCTGCTCGAGAGGTGTACGGGGCTCAGCCTCCCATTGAATTACTAAGACAGTGGTTAGATCACTGGAATTGGTATGACCTAAAAGATTGTTCTGTGATTAAACTAGTGGACATTCAAATCATGTGTGCTATGGGGCCTCCAGGTACGTATTGAAATTTTTTTCCAACTATTACATTAGTTTATGTTATTCATTTTAAATTTATATGTAAAGAAATATAAAGAATAGAAACAAAATTGTCATTAATTTATTACTAAGTTTTTAAAAGTGCAGTCACTTGTGAAATTTAAAGCGCTGAGAAAAGAAAGGAAAAACCAAATAAACAGTTTAAAGTTTTGAATGTAGAGTTCTCTGTGTATACACTTTGAGCTAAGTGAGTGACCACAGTTGTGCCCGAGTAGTCACACTGCAAACTAGATTGCTTTGGTTGTGGCCATTCTTCCACCAGCTCTCCTGTTCAAGACCTGTTCCTCTCTCCTTCATGGACTTTGTCCTATTTCTTTCATTCTGAGAATCTTAATTTTCTGGGGCCATCGATTTCCTTCTGTTTTCATTCTTTAATGCTGTTTTTCAAAGGTCTAGGGTCCTGTGAGTCCCAGTTAACCCTTTGGCATCTAACAACACGGTTTATGCAGGCTGTTAAGAAATGTTCGGATAAAAAATAGCCAAACTATTTACTTTTAAAGATCTTTTACATATATCTTCTATGTGGAATTTATTCAGAGAATTTAATTCAGAGAAATATCTAGGGAGTTTTATGATAAGGTATCTAAAATGGTTGATTCCATTAACTAGATAACTTTAAATATTCTCTTCCTTACTTTAAGCAGATATTATTTTCATTTTTAAAGATGCTTCTCTCAAGGAATGCCCTGGGCCATTTTCAACAACACTTCAACTTTTTTTGTTTTAAAAAAATCAAAGACTATTACTCCCTACAACCAAGAGAGGATAAAATAGATGAATGGGACCTTCTAAGAATCAAATCCCTATGCACATACAAAAACTTCTCCAACAGGGTATAAAGGAAAGCCACAGACTTGGAAAAAAAATATTTGCTAACAACTTGTCAGATAAAGGACTTCTATCTAGAATTTATAAAACACTCGAGCACAACAACAACAAGATAAAGGTAAATAACCCAATTGAAAAATGGACACAGGATATGAACAGACATTTCACCAAAGAAGATATTCAGATGGAAAACAAACACAGGAAGAAATGTTCAAAATCCCTAATCTCTAAGAGAGATGCAAATCAAAACAACTATGAGATATCATCTCACCCTAGTAAAAATAGCAAAATTCAACACACAGAAATACTGGTGAGCAGCACACACAAATACTGGTGAGGTTGTGGAGAAACTGGAACCCTTATTCACTGTTGGTGGGTGTGTAAAATGGTGCAACCACTATAGAAGACAGTATGGCGCTTTCTCAAAAAGTTGCAAATAGAAATGCCATTTGACCCAGCAATTCCAACAGTGGGAATATACCCTAAAGAAACCAGAATTGCCACCCAAGCAGATATATGTACACCCATTTTTATCATGGCTCTGTCCACAATAGCGAAGAGTTGGAAACAACCCAAGTGCCCGTCAACAAATTAATGGATAGAGAAGCTGTGATATATTAATAATGGAATATATTAACAATGGAATATTATGCAACATTGAAAAACAAAGAACTTAACAAATATTATAAAATGGGTGACTCCAGAGGACATTATGCTGAGTGAAATATCTCAGTCACAAAAAGACAAATAACTTCATAATGCCACTGTTATAAAACAGGATTGACATGGAGGTAGCAGGAAACTAAGAAAAGAGGGGGAAAATAATGTACACGACATTGAAATAGGCAAGGGAGAGAACTATATTAAAGGAATATATGATTAGGTATTATTGGCATGACAAGAGTACAACAATGAAAGAACTTTTTTTCCAAAGAAAAAAGCTAACTTGGGGGAAAGAGGGGCAGGGTGGAAAATGTGCAATAATGAATGAATGGAAATCCAAGTTCTTTATAAACTTACAATAAAATCTCAATTAAAAATAAAATCAAATAAGAAACAAAAGGGGGAAAAAAGACTATCACTCTTGGGTCTTCAGTTTTCCTTTGTTTTTCCTCTGCTACCCCACACTATTCTTTTGCCCTTTAGTGCCACATACATCCACCTTCCTTCACACTGACAGAGGAGTGGGATCAACTGGTAAAGTTTCCTCACCTGTTGGACCCATTTCCTAAGGATATCACTGTTTCTGAATGTACTCTGAAGAGTTGAAGATAGATTTTTGCTTTTGAAAGCTTTCACCATCTCTATAAACCCTTAAGCTTTGTGTTTATTTTAAGCTTTTAATACATTGACACACATAACCCTTTTAAGCTATAGATGGATAGTAACAAGTTCCATACTTTGACAGTTGTTTAGTGCTGTCAAGTCTTAGGCAACTCATAGCAACCATAGCGACCCTATGAACAAAAGACCTGAATACTTTGACAGTGCATGTGCATAGTTTCAGAAGCAGTATGGAATAATGTCTTATTCAGTAATATGAATAGAATGCAAATTTGCCTTGATTAAAACAACCTATGTATTTATGCAAAAATGTATCCTAGTGTTACTCTTACTATTCTTTATAAAGATGACTCAGTCACTTTAAAAGGTAAATGCAACTTTTCTGTATATTTTAAAGATGATATTTCTAGAGAAGCCCAAAATCAATGATCAAAACAAGACCAGGCAGCAGCTGACTGTGAAACAGACCATCAATTACTAATGTGCAAGTTCGAATAGAAGTTGAAGAAAAGAAGCCCATGAGAACCAAACTATGACTTTAAGTCTGTCTCAATTGAATTTAAAAACCATCCCAGGAGTAGATTTGATACATTATACACTAATAACCAGAGACCAGATGAGCTGTGGGATGACGTCATGGATACCACCTATAACGAAAGCAAAATGGTCATTATAGCAACAGGGGGACATGAGAGAAATCTTGACGATGGAGCAGGATAGGACACAGTTCAGATCTGTTTTAGAGTCACTATGGGTTGTAGTTGACTTGATGCCACTTAACAGCAACAATACTACTTCTGTAAAATGATATGAAAAAATTTTTAAAACCTCCTATTTGAAGCTACAGTTGGGTTATGATGTGACTTAATACCACAATTAAAACAACAACAACAAACCCAACATTCAGGGAAATAGCCATATGATCTGTGAAGACTATTGTTAGAGAATATCATTTTAGTATATGGGGACCTAGGTAATGGTGATAGTAAATAATACGGAAAATTGCCCGGGTCAGTTCAGTTCCTCAAGGTTGTATTAATATTGCATATAAAGCAATTAGCTTTATAGATTGACTGCTTTGGATGATCATAATATTTTTTGGCCTAATCTTATTTCCTTTGATAATGTAGACCTTTCCCAGGATTATGTCTAATTACTTTAATGTATTTAAATGGTTCAACTAGAAAGAGAACATCTTGTATTTGAAAGGAAAACAGGTTGAGATCAGAGTTTTCCTGAAGTTTCTTTCTCTTAACTTCTCTGTGCTTTGAATTTGACCATCTTTCAAGTTGTTGAAATGGAGGGAAATAGTGTAGGCTGGTAATATTTCTAAGAGCTATTGTTTTTAATATTTAGGTGGTGGCCGAAATCCAATAACTCCTCGATATTTGCGACATTTCAATACTATAACAATCAATGAATTTAGTGATAAATCTATGTATGCAATCTTCTCTAGAATACTAAACTGGCATTTAAAGATTTGGTAAGTAATTTATGTTTGTTTTTAAAAATTCATTAAGAAGTATTAGATCTGTTGAAACCACTTCATGGTTTCCCGTAATTCTTCTTGGGCTATCCCATGAAAACATTGCTAGACAAGGAAAAATAAGTAACATTGACTCTCTTCCCTTCCTCTCACATTCAGCTAAGGAAGCATAACACCAAGAGGTCAGAGCACCCTTTTCTTTTTCTTTATTTCTTTCCTTTTTTAGTCTAAAACTGCACATATTTATGTAAAATCTATGAAAACCAATCAAATTCTATTTTATAATATGCCCATGATGAGCTAATAATTTTTTAAAACTTTACCACTAGTACATTTCAGACTCTGGAAAAGAGATGCCGTGTTTATCCTGTTATTTATGTGACTCTCTAGTAGATCTGAGTCCCTCAGAGAGCTGTCTCTCAAGGCTTGAGAATTACAGCCTTTGAAATTCATGTGGTTGAAGGTAGCTGTTCAAGTTCATCATTGATTCCATTGACAGAAGAACAAAATGCCATCTGGTCTTCTACCATTCTTATAACCAGCGGAGAAGAACTGACCACTCTTTGTGATCCAAAGGGTGCTCATTAATTTGGGGAATAGATTATCAGAATTTTCTGCGTAGGTCATCTGAATTGGGGAAAGCCTCATTCAGGCCACTGACAGATGATAGGTGGTGCTTGTATATAAGTGACATTGACAGGGGTATAAACTCAGTTCTATCATTGTACCACCACTGACCCAATCAGAGGCTATACTCTGGGGGAGACATTGTTTCCTCACTTTACTTATTCAATACTACTCAACCAAAGCATGGAGTTAAGGGAGCCAGGCAGACTTGGACAGTGTAGGTCTCAACTCCTGGATGCTCATTCTCAAGGTATTGTCATCTTCTGACTTATCCAGTGATGCTGGAAGTGGACAGCTGGTTCTTTGTCAGGTCAAAAATGAAAAGTCAGTCTTTCTAAATGAATGTTCTTTCCTCATGTTAATTCTGCCCTAACTATGATCATTGCACTTCTTATCCGGGCTTGCTGTGTAGTTCATCCTTTCTTTTTTTTTTTCTATATCTTTTATTTTCTATAATT